CCCGCGTGACTCGCGAGTTAATTCGACGTGAAAATTTGACGTTAATCTTCTCGGATTCTCGAAATTTGTTCGAGTAAAATTCCACTGGGAAAATAGAGCGACAACCGAGCCAAAGCGCAGCACTCGAGGAGTCTCTGTATGAATGAATTCCCCGCTATGAATCGTCGAGTGAATACTTTCATTCGGGATTGAAGAGTGAATCTGATGTATTCTACCGTTCGCAAGAACAAATTCACTCTAATCGATTGAGAGAGAAATATTTATGAGTATTGATTAAAGTCCAATCTCTCCAAATTCCGGCTGAGCTCTTACAATTTAAGTTGGCGATGTTTTCACTACTCTCCAAGTGAATTTTCACTCGTTTTGAGTGAAATTACATTTCACGAAATCTCAAGAGAATCACAAGCCGCAGAAACGTCATATTACTGTGAAAATTGCCGAATCACATTTCACAGTCCGCGGACCGCTCTCTCTCTCTCTCTCTCTCTCTCTCTCTCTCTCTCTCTCTCTCAGTCCGAGTTAGCACCGTTAGATTGTGAAAGTGAAAAGGTTGATTTATTTTTCCACCTGAATCGAGAGGCCGGATTTAAAATTTGAATAAAAAATTTGTGCGTGAACTCGCTTAGAAAACGGGAAGAGAACCAGGTGACAACGTTCGCCCTTGATCGCGCGACGCTGAATCCTGTTGAATATACATATATCAAGCGAAACTGTTAAATACGCGGGCGTACAAATGAGATTTCTGCATTGCAACAGGTGCAAATACCAGGGTCATATTAAGATCCTAAGCCATTCAAACCGCGACGTATTAAGAGCTTAAGGCCGCGCATGATACATCGCGAATGTCAGACTGATGAAAATTAAGCCGATGGAATGCATCGACGCCGGGACTTAACAATTCCGAAATACAAACAGAGAGGAAGCTCATTCGAAACAACTCTGGTATGAAGTACACGACGAGTGGAGAGCCAGCGCAGGTAATCGCGTGAAAGAACGAAGCGATATTCGTCGCCGTAAGAAATTCACTGGCGCTTGCAAAACTATTTGTTTACAAACGCATCAATCTCGACGGTAATTATAACGGACAACCGCGCGTCACTCGGTACATCAAGCGTCTAACGAAGATTAATTGACGGTCGCGGGTATATCGGCTCGGCAGGCAGGCACGCACGCACGCACGGACAAGCACGCAGGCAAGCTCGAAATCGTCGTTCCTGACACGCAGCCCAAGTTTTCGTATGAGCTCGTCCGCGAGACGTCGATCATCGCTAGCTATATGTAGTTCCCGAGGAAAGAGAAGGCGTCGTTAAAATTGTACACGAGCGAAAACACGCGAACGAGAGGGATGCTAAATGCGTCGTCTCCTTTACGAGGCCGTTTTTACGAGTCCTCGACGGGCCAGTGATTTCCTCATGTTTCGCGGATGCGAGCCGAATATCAAAGCAGAAGAAAGTGCCGTTCGGCACTACTGTATCACCGATGGCGCAATCGACGGGCCGAAAGTAAAAGCGCACTTGCCCTCGGAATTTTATACCTTGTCCCGCTGCATAATTTACGTCTCTCTCTTCGCGAAAAGAAGGTTACGATTTATACGACGTGTTTATGATAATGATCTTCGGCAGATATATTATACAATCTGGTGATACACGTTCAGCATAGAGATACGTGCGAGCAAAGAAAGATACAGGAAAGCACTTGAAATCGAGGTTGCACTTTTGCGAGATTTAGGCCGGTGTTAATAGTCGTTAGTTGTCTCAAATGAGATACGCGGATTTGAGTTTTGAGCTTTTCGGCGGAATCGCAATTACAAAAGTATAACGATTATTAATACGAGGATGTCAAATATTAATATAAATCACGGTGAAAGATAGCCTCTCTCGAAGAAAAAGAACGCCAGAATCCCCGTGGGAGCCGTCATTAGAATCAAGTTCGATGGAAGTGCGCGATCCGCTGAAAATAATCGCACGCCCCCGCATCCCCCGGGCCGATTCCGCCAATATTTCGTTCTTGTAGGGCCTCTAGAGATATTGGATACCTCGCGGTATTGGTGGCGCCGAACATCCATAATCGGGGATATATGCCGACGAATGCATCGCGCAAATTGCGCTCGGGCGGGTATCCGGCTAAAAGCACTTTGTCCCCCGAATGCCGCGGATATCTACTTTGTCCCGCGAAACGCGTCTGATCCATTATTCAAAATGGAGAGCCGCCGGCGTAGACCAGCTGGCGTACGGCGGGATCGTTTCAAGAGGCTCAAATATTAGTCCGCTGCTATTTTTCTCTAGACTTTCGCCGTTGAATGGAACCATCTGTGGTTCGCGACGTCTGTCCACGCGCGTGTGTGTGTGTGTGTGTGAACCATTCACTCAGAGTCGACGGTAAGGTGACAAAGATCGTGAGATTGTCGGATTTTACTACGCGTGCGAAACGTCCCTTAATTAAAGTATTCATTCAGCGCGCTTCGCGGTAGTCGCTGATCCTTTGATCAAAATTTTACCTACAAAACTTCAAAATCGCTCGGTTTTTTTGAAAAAAGAATTAAATGTAAATAAAAATAGAAGTTAAGAATAAAATTAAAATAATGATAAAATATGGCTGACAACTGACAGGCGGTATGAAGAAATGTATCGTGTGAAAGCATTCGGCATAAGCAGAATTATTGATTCGGAAATTACATGTCAACGTGCCGTATCATAATAAAAAAGGTGTTAACCGAACATATTATTAATCGGTCTCACTGTATAAAAGTACAGGCAATTATTCGTAACAGGTTCTACGCAATTGGAATACACACACGCATGTACAGGAAAAAGAGCAAAATATTTTTCACTTGAGCACGATGCGCGCTTTCCGCCACAAACATTCGCAGATACGCAAATACTCGCTACAACTCGTTTGCGTGTCCGCGCTGCGAACAGGTTTTTTTCCTCGTATTCCGCAAATAGCCTGAACTTGTTTAATTTCCGAGAAGTTCACGCGCGAAATAGTTCAATCAACGCGAGCAGAGAAGAATGATCAGCGAAACTCTCAAACCGTCAGGCCGAAAAGGGACACCCGGTATAAATGCGGCTTCTTCCACGGCGAGGCACGACGGATCAAAGGATCAATTTAAAGACGGTCGCTCGGTATCGTGTGTACGCACGTCGTCACCAAAAACAATTTCGCCTTATTAAGAGCCCCAGCGTCGTAAAGCTGACGAGTTAACGAGCCGCCGACTCGTTCCTTGTACGCGGTATGTACCGGGTGAAACGCAACGATCAGTCATTGAAGGACCGAAAAATCTCGCGGCATTCGTGTGAACGTTTGACGCGCGTCGCCGGCGTCAAAAGTCGTGCACGGATTAATCGCGGCGAAATTTCCGCGTCGACGACGAACTAAGAAGAAGAACGTGCGACGCAAAGGCACGCACCTCGCCGAGTTTTGCGCGGGATATTATCGCTGTACGTACATATGATGTCCACCAGAGCAGAGAGATTTGAAATCAGAGAGCCGGATTTAGCGATGTGAATTCCTCCGCGCGCGCGTCCAGGGCGCTTTGAGAGAGAGAGGTGGCTTCAAATATTAACATTAATATCCCGCCCGTTGGCTGCTCTCCGGCATTTTTCGACGTCGGCGAGACCGGCGTGGCGCGCTGAGCGTTACTCTCCGAATATTCAATTATCATTACAGAGCGAACGTCTCTTAATTGACGCGCGACGATAACCAAGAAGTAACGCCGATAATCTCAGATATGTCAACGTTGTAACGCTGATGGACGTTAAGAGGCTCGCAAATATTCGTGTTCATACGGCGAGCGCATACGCCAAGAATAGCCGGTTCTCTTGTAAAAATAATAACTTATGTACACGCCAACGGAGGATTCGGTGCCGGCTGAATGGGGAGCTCCGAATCGCCTCTTTCAGGGACCTACTTTCCACAAGTTTCCTCCTCGCTCGTTTACGGATCTCCTTCGCAACGCAAATCAGATCGATTTGCAGACCCAGGCAATTAGCACCGCGTGCGTGCCGCGAATCCCATTTCGACATTTGCAGCGTCACGAACGTGCCTCTGGCATATCGTGCTAAATGCACGCGCGATCTTTCGCGTTTGCACATTCCTTTAGGAGAAGCGCAAGAAAAGAAAACGGGCACGGAGCTGATCCGGCGGACAGATCGGCTCCGCTCTATCTCGCGAAATTATTCGCACCGCGCGCTGTTTCGCGAGATTACGCAAGGAGCCGAGCCGAGCTGAGCGAGCGCGACGTCAAGAGAACGCGGGAACCGTGATTAATTATTAAACGAGCGCGCGAGAGTGAAGTTACGCGCGGGATAACCGAAGGATTACATAAGACCAGTTAGCGTTAATCGAAAACGTCGTACTTAGATTGGATCGAATGAGAACGGGCGACTTGGAAAAATAGCTTTCCACGCGACGCGTCGCGTCGACGCGTACAAATGCGCCGGCCCGATTTCACCGACTGAAGCTCCGTGTCCGCCGGATCTCCTCCCTCCTCTTATTCGGTGGTAAAAGAGCACATCGTGATTATTCCGGATCGCTTTTCGCAATAGCTCCCCGGCGTAGATTAACATAAAATGATAAAATCCAAAATTTCCATCCTCATTTATCAAATCTCGAAAAATCCTCTCTCCCTTTCTATCTATAGCTTTCATACAAATAGCATATGCTCAATAATCTTTATTTGAATTTCCATATGATAAAATATGGAACGATTATAACACTTGCAAATATACACTGAGAGAAAAATATTTGGTATTTGTGACCATCATAATGAAAGAATTATAATTAGAAGAGGCGGTTTTCTAGTATAGATTACTACGGTGTCAATGATAGTAACCTTGCATGTATATTGCTACTGTTATTATTATTATTAAAACCATAAAAAGGATATAGTTGAGGCCAAAAAACGATAATTTCCCCCAGTATCGGAAGGAGAAACTCGTGTTTTTTTTTCGGTTCGAGGAACACTGCGTTACACAATCTATCTATGTCGCTACACTCACCTCGGAGTTGCTGGTGGCGACACTGGACAGACCCGGAGACATGGCGCCGGTGGCGGGGTCCGGGCTCGCCGAGACCACGGGGTGGTTGCCGTGAGGAAGCAGCGCGGGGGCATGTGGGTACGAGGCGAGATGAGGATGCTGCGGCTTCGGGTGATGCGGGCCGGGCGGTGCACTTTGCACCACCATTGGGACGGGCGGCGGCCCGGCGTCGACCGGCGTCCTGCCACCCTCGCTGCCGACGACTGCATTGCCGGCACCATCACCACCCCCGCGAAACGACTCGTGCAGGTACTGGCGCACCTGGTTCTTCTGCTTCTGCACCACGTGGTAGCGCGTTGGATTTTCTAACAGTGTCCGCACCTATGGGGGGATACAACGTTAAGAATCATCAGCGCGGAATAAGCAAGAGGCAGCACGCAAGATGCGAACCGATCGGAATCTTCGCCTGTACTGATTATTTCTACTAATTATTAACGTTTAATGTTATCGCTTGTTGCGCTTTCATCTGTCAAGAATTATGTGGCACTGATAATTTTGATTTTATTAAACGCATTGCATATCGTTGAAAACCCTCTAATCTAATGGAAAAACTGAAATGAAATGAAAATAAGTGGGATTATAGAAAATATTTGGGTGAGTGAAATTCTAGAAAATATTTTAATATGAAACGAAGGTCAAAATCGGGGGATCAAGTTGACATTCGTTAAGGAGGCCGTAATTCTAATACGATGGTTTTACGGATATGATGAGCCGATTCGCTTACTGCTTAAGTCTTGTTGTTTACATTTTCCCGTGTGCTGTAACCCTTAACCATCCCTGAAGATCGTCAATCTAGCGCAGGGGCAAATCCGCGCGAAATCGTCGCGAATCCGGAGAACGTCGTCACCTCCGCGCCCGACCTTTCACGAACGCGCGACACCATGTTGCGTGGAGCTAATTACAAGGTAAACCATCGACGACTCTCGCACCTACTGCCTCTCGTTGCGTTTCCCACCGTCCTCCCACGCTACCGAACATTATTCCGGGAGGTTTAGCGGTATAGACACGGTGTACCGAATAGATCTATTAACGGCGTTACAGAACACGGTTCGCCTTACCGCGATACGGCAAACTGCTGGGACCTCGAAACTATAAGGTATCGTTATCTTAGTCGCTGTTTCTCCCGCGCTCTCCTCCTCCGCGTTCCCTGTACTCAAACGCTCGAAATATCTATATACGCGGAGCTTTAAGCGACGGAAACGCAAACGATGGTAACCGGATGCTTGACCCTTCGGAGAACAACGCTCTATCTGAGAAGACCGTTCCGCGTTTGGCTTTGCGTACTTCGGTACTCCCGTGAAGTCTAACATGAAGTTTCCTCTCTCTCTCTCTGAATTTGATACAAAATCTTGCTTTAACATTACGCGACGGGAAATAAAAAAAAAGCGGAGAGGGTCGAAGATACCTTCATTTTCTTGTAATAAGATATAATAATAATACGATGGCGTTATGCGATAACTGTTCGCACGAATGAACAAATAACCGTGCATTCTCGGAGGGTGACGTATCAATTATACTGTATAATAACGACGATGCAATGTCATCACTGGAAAAAAGGATCGGGTAAAAAGAACCGAGTCTCAAGGTTACGCAAATTGTTGCACAAACTGCACTCGAGTCAAGCTTGTCTCACATAAACGAGAGATTGAAAGAACACCCAAATTTTGCTGCAAAAATTAGAGCAAATATAATAATTAATATATAATCCTGAAATGGAGTTCGCTTAATTCGATTCCTTGTTTCGACTGTTGTCTTTTTATAATTGTTACTTTAACGCACTTGTGAAAGAGAGGACAACTTTTGAAAAAAACAATTGGGAGACAACTTCTTATATTAAATTATTTAATTACTCGCGAGTTCGAACCGATCTCTCGATCTGGGCGCAAGCAGTTCAGCATCGAGCATGCAAATCGAAGCGATAATAGCAGTACATACTTGCAATACTTGCGGCGGCACATCCACGCCAATGGTGGGCAATGGCGTAGGTGGCACTGGTCTGGGCGGTGCGGCAGCTGGCCTCTGCTGCTGCAAGCTCTGCCGGAATTCCGCCTCTCGCCTCTCCTGCTCATGCAGCTGCTCCCGCATCAGCTGCAGCTTCAATTGCGTGCGCGACGTCGGCGTCGCTGTTTTGAACGTCGGCGGACTGAAAAACCGATATTTCGTTCACGTAAGACCTTATCCCACCGTGTCGCCTTCTCGCCGGTATACTTTTGCGATTTATATTCGCGCTATCTCGCACGCGCCCGCGAGCGCCAGTTAACGCGAGATGGACCGTATCAGCTGTATCGCTGTAGAAGTAATAATCCAACAGCCTGAAATTTCTCCACCGAAACACGAGAAACTAAAGTCACGTATTGTACGGGTTTGATAATAGAAATAATTCATACGATATCTGCGTTTGTATTACGTAGACGTTTCTATAAAAATATCGTGGAAACTTGGATTAGAAGGGAGATAAAAAAAAAAAGATATTCTATGATGAAAGTATTCTCACAAAAGTATTCTCCTAATAGTAGAGATGTACGTACGTATTATATATAAAAAAAACCCGATTATTTTTTAATTGTCGAATGTAATCAAGAAATTTCGACCGAAGTGACACCAATTTTCATCTGAAATTTAACTACTTCGGTAACATTTAACGCGTGCGCGACTGAACTTCCCGGTAACGTGAGCGTTTTCACCCGACGTTCTTGTTACCAGTTGAAGCAAATGACGTTGCATCGAGTTCCTCCTCGCGGCGAAGCTCGTTCAGTTACGACGGTCGCGCGTTCGTTGTCGATAAATGTGCGAATACTCGACGTACCAGTTGAGCGAGTATATCGAGTCCCAAGTCCGAGACGACGCCAATTAATCTCGCAGGGCAAACACTATTGAATCGAACTATCTTCGCGGCGACAACAAGGAATCCTGTAAAGCGAGTCGGTCGATACGCGGCATCCAAGTAGATATGACATTAATGGAGAGACGCGATAGGCGAATAATAAACACGTCGCATTGTGATGAGGAATGTTGATCTAATTCGTGAAAAAAATTCGGCCGAAACTCTTACACTGCGGCGAAGAGAAGCTCGTCTTGACATAATATTCATATTTTATGACATATATCACGAATTATTTATGTATACTTCTTACAATATTTATAAATATGATATGTGAAATTTTAATATAATCCACAATTCGAAAATACAGAAAGTAAAATCATAATTTCGTTCATTTTAACAAATGCTTTTTAAAAAGCTTACGATCGAAATGTAACAAACATCGTGATAATCAAACGACAAATATACATGTTTTAATAAGCATTTTGCAAAAGTGTGCACGATAGAAACCCGTGCAAATAAATTAATTATTGATTAAAACAGAACGTGACGGTTAATATGCGAATCCCCCATTTGCATAATGAATCGAGAAATATTCACCAGATAGCTACAAGAAATGAATGAATATTTCAAAGCAGGCCCCGTGTGAAAAATTGATTCAAAGCGTCGATGAATATCATATGGCAAGCAAAAGAAGGACAAAACTATACTTTGAAGTTGATTCGCTCGGACAACTAGGCATGGAATTCTCTTTATTAATGTCCTAGCCGCCCTACCAGAATGGTGTTAGGAAATTAATGGTACCATGATTCGGACGTAAAGTCGAGTGATGGTATTACCGAGTCTTGGCAGCGTTGCTGCTCCGGCGATATTCGCGCGAGAACGCGCGGAATCGTCCGAATTCGCGGATAGCGAAACGGCCGTATAATTCAGTGCGCGTAATTTATGGCGAATCGGTAGCCAGTAAAATAAGTAGGACTTTCTTCGAAGTGCGCGAATGTTGCGAACAAACGGAAAAAGTACCACGTCGCGAGTACTAACGTCTCTGTAGTACTGCGAACGCGCAGAAATACATTGCGCATTCGCAATTGTCTTCTTAATTTCTTAACCCGCACGCTTGATCTCGTGCGAATAAAATCATTCGCCTTCGCGCTATTAGCGTTAAGAACAAGTATGTCATCGCGCGCGTCGTGTGTATATCCGAGGCGTTCGTTTCGTCGTCGGCTAAAGGACATTCCCAATTCGGGAACAAAGCCAAAATCTGGCCATAAGAAGACCGAAATAGAGAGGTTGCGCAATTTGGATCGAGCGTTAGTTCCCATCCTACGAGACGATCTTTCTCTCTCCCCGCTCTATCGCTTTTTATTAAATCATACATTTATTCTCCGTATATCTCGTTCATTGAGAGAAATAAGTATTTGATATTTGTGACTATCAAGATGGATCAAGACGCAAGGTTTCTTTGGAATGTCGCTTCTTTCAAATAACATATTGCTTGTGACAATCATTATAATGTTTCGATGAAAATACAAAAGAAATATATTATTTGACATAAAGATATTTATTGTTTGAGAAACCAAACAATCCTGTTTCTTGAAAAAGTTTCAAACATGTTCGTTTGTTTGCTCCATCCCAAAAGACAAATTTGTTTCAAGAAAAAAAGAAAGAAAAGAAGCAGAGAAATTTTGTTAAATTCAAAGAAATCCTTTTTCTCTATGTTGTTGAATAATTATAGTCGGAGCAATCATTTTCTTTTAACAAGTAATACTACTTTATGATAATAACCTTATATATATATTGCTACTTTGTCGTTAAAACCAGAAAAAAACATGACTGATATCCAAAATGACTATGAGATTCTAGTGGAATTATTCATATTTTTTTCTCAGTGTGCTAGCAAGAATACTAAAAATATTGATAGGAAACTTCATCTGAAGTTTTACAAACATACCGACAGATTCTTCTAGCCTTGCTGCGCAAACCGATAACGATCAATAACGAAACTTCAGAAACTGAAGTTAACTGTTTACAACAACTAAATGATCAAACTTTGAATTTGAGATTCGGTCTTACAAGCGACAGAAGAGTCGAAGCGACGCCATATGTACAAGAAAAGGACGCTGAAAATTCGCCGAAGTCTTAAACTCAAAAGCTATCTTTGTGCGATTACGAAATTAAAAATTCCTTCGTTTCCAGCCGCGTGCGCGGGTGCGCTACGAGAGCTGCCGTAGTAAAGCTGTTACAACTTTTATAATAGTACCGGCTGGTTCGTGAAAGGCGATTTAATCAGAACACCGGCTTTCCCGGAGACCATTAAAACGTCTTACGAATTTTTCTATCGCCTAAGACAGACTTGCTTCTTTCTCTTAACACTTCTATTCTTAAAAAGCATGGACCTTTTATCATCAACATGTTTGTAAAGTTTTGCTAAAATTAATTAAAACTACAATTTTTAATGTTTCACATTGTGCCAAATGCGAGTGTTACGTTATATTGTGAAATATTAAAATCTCATATATTTCGTGACATTATGAAATTTTTATAGAAATATCGCAGAAAAATCAAAACACGAGATTAAGTATAACGACAGAATAATACGTTTGGATTAAATATCAAACGTTAGATTTAAATGTCAGGGAAACTACATGACGCAAATATGAATTTCGTCAGTTTGACAGTCGATTAAGTTGTCGATGTAAGCATCGGATAAGGACATCGACATACTTAATCGACTCGAAGAAGAAATAATCGGCTGGGAGAGAGTGGCGATCAGAAGTTAAGAATCGAATATTACATATGTTGGCTGAGTTCGGCAGAAAACTCGCGACTGTGTGTCAGATTAAGGAATGAAACGAAAATACTGATGGAAGATTGGAAAAGTTTCCAATGAAAAATTTTACGCGGGTAAGGCCGAAGTTGAAATGGAATTGGATAGTTCCATTCCTTCCGGATAATCATTGTATTGATATTTAGTGGGAAACGCGAAAGTCGAATACCTGAACATACCGAGGGTCACGTAAACGCGCGCATTGTTTCAACGCTATTACATCGAACTTCGCTTGCACGTTACGTCATTAATTAGGCAATTTAATATCGCTTCTAGACGAAACTTGCCATTGAAAATCGATACAGCTAAATTGCTACTGTTAAGAACCAATTAAAAGCGCTCATTTAGTAGAAATTTAATCATCCCCGCTATGAGATCTCTCAACTTTACAACTTCCAGAGATCGATAAAAATAATTTGTTCCTTAGGATATTACCGTTGTGTATAATCGGAAAAATTTAACAATAAATGTCCAATATTATCATCGATCAATTTGGCGAAATTTCCGATAGAACAAATAACCTCTCCTTTGTGTTCTGAATATCTCTCAGAATTATCTTTAAATTATTTAATTAAAACAAAATGGACGGTAGGAGGAATCTTGGTCGTGTTCTTCCAAAGATATTCAACTCAATTATCTTGAGACTAATAACAACACACTAGTAACTGATAATAAATCGAAGCCCGCGTACCTCCAAATTAATAATCAGAGAGTTAAATGGATTCTCAGATACGCGTAACGCTATATGATTAAATTTCATTACATAATTCCCTCGCGTTATTACCCAAAAACAACGCGCCGATGCGGAAGGTTTCGGCAGCAAACTAGAATGTTTTTTTTTTTTGTAAACACAGTCGGCAGATCGAAGGTGGCCACGGCGCAGCCGTATATTTCTCCTCGCGATATTGGATATTGGACGACCGAAAATAATTTTCGACGGTCCCGTCGGATGCCATTAATTCTCCAAAGTCACGTACGAGTCCGCGCAATACCCCGCGCGAGTTCCTGTCCGTACGTATCGCACTTTTTGTCGAGGGCTTTTATACGTGTGCCGCGCTTAGCGGGGTGGGCGACCGTAATACTGAATTTAGTGCTTATATAAAGAGCGACGGAGGATCGCTTATGGCAGCTTCATGCAAATGCGCACGAGCCCTCCGGCCCTCCTTCTTACTCACTGTCTCTCTATATGCGACGCGCAAGGATTCTCGCAAGAGGATCCCCACCGGTGGATCCGGGGAACACGGTGCCCTATGTGCAAAGGAAATATTATTTTAAGGATAAGAATTTTTTCAAGATATATTCTTAATTAGTGGACGAATATATTGAACAATGTAATACATAATTGTCAGTCGCATAAATCTTCGGAAACGACGAGTACAGTTACTATAACAAACAATACTAGAATAATTTTATTACGCGTCAGGTAACTTGGCAAAATGAAAGAACATAACATAAATGAAACGTCTTGACATATTGAATAATTTTGTCATATCTT